GAAGTTCTTCTTGAATTTGAAGAACCATTTTGCATATTAAGATTGTTAAGATTGCGTAAAGTATTATTCAAGACCAATGGATTTTCTGCAATGGTTACACTTTTTCGTTTATCTACCCAAGAATCAGAGGATGGTTTGTTAAGCATTGAAGTTGGCTTTTGATAATTGTCGTTTTGAAAGTTGAGATTTCCAGGTCGGGAAACTTCAAAAGATTTTGTTTGTTTACCATCATCATCAGAACTTTTTAAATTAAACAATTTAGCAAACTTATTTTTAAAACTAGTATTATTTTCATCGGATTCAGGATCATCAGAAGTAGTTGCAGGAGTATAAGGACCAAACTTTCTAATAGTTGTACATGAAAATATAGCCAATAATGGTATGACGATATATATGAGAACAGATAATATTACGCCCATTAATCCATGAGGGGTTGAGAAATGAGAAGTTGGAATACTGTTGGTGGAAGAAGGAATAACAGAATTTACTTGTTGCATAGCGACCAAAAAACCATAAATCAGAAAGGCGTAAGCCAATAATATGAAAATAGCATAAATTCCAGCAATAATCGGACCTCGACCGAATCTAATTATTGAAGTTGCAATAGGTAAAATTATAAAGCTTAAAGTTAAATAAATTATGTGATTAATATTGATGGCAGCATCAGCAAATTGAGGACCAAAGGGACCAAGGCCAGGGGAAGGACTTGGAGATAATGGAGTACCAATACCAACAAGAGGAGAAATACATTTTAAGAAATCCATGCCAGAAGATGTTGTAGAGTTACCCTTTGAGACACCATCAGAAAGAGTAAGAAGCCACATATCATTATAAAATGAATTGGTACCATTTAAACCCTCCCCACCAAACATAATAATGCTAGGAGCAGACGAATTTGATATACCGAGGTCGACAGCTACCATTCTGGCACCGGAACGTACTTTTGGATATAAATATTTTGGGTCACCTTTGGGAAGAACCCTCACCCAAACGCCCTACATAACATAATAAGTTATTATGTAAGACATATAATAATATATATAATATATATTATAATATATATATAAGAAGCAAATATATAATTAAATACCCCATTGGCATCAAAAACACCAACTTCACCATCTTTATCAGCAGTCATTTTTCCAGGTAATTTACCACCAAAGGAAATAGCTTGAGTACGATAAGAAACAACGCCTATAAGCGCGTTATTAATCATCGCCACGCCTTCTCTTGCACCTAAACATTCACCTCTTTGACTCCAACTTGGAGAATTCGAAGTTGGTACACCACTATTAGAGTTACTTCCAATATCCAAACTCCAAACATCAGATGTTGCACAATCTGATGAGCTTGTTAAATTACATCCACCATACATTACCATCTTACCACCCGGAAGGATAGTTCCACCGGTAACTTTTCTTCCTAAAAGATAAAGTTAAATTAAATAATTAGAAATATAAATATATAGAAAACAAAAGGATATACAGTCAACTCTGGATATAACGAACTTTACTCTATAACGAACTTTTTT